CAGCGCAGCGCCGGTATGTGGGGGTCTGAGCGGGCATGCTCTGGTTTGAAGAAAGAGCTGACGTGTAAAAAAACGAACCTCTTTCTCTATTTGTTATGGTTTTCTGGCAGGTTAAACTGCAGCCAAACAGCAACAAGCACATTTAAGAGGAAAAAGTTTCTGGGTGATGAAACTCTGTTGAATAACCACAGATATACAGTGGGTACGGGAAGTATAAAATGAACTCAAAGTTCATTTTATTTCTCATTAATGTTCACTCAGTACCCCATCTTCACAGTAAAAACATAAAATAATATAACATGGTCATAAGTTTTCACACCCTTGGCTCAGTATTGAGTAGAAGCACCTTCTGAGCTCGTTCAGCCATGAATGATGATGGATGCAGGGATCCTTCCTGCAGATCCTCTCCTGTTCTGTCAGGTTGGATGCTGAGCGTTGGTGGGCGGCCATTTTCAGCTCACTAGAGATGCTCCATTGGGTTTAGGTCAGGGCTCTGCCATGAAGCCCCGCCTGGTGGGGGGCTGCAGGGATAGTTGACTTTCTCCCATCTCCCTGCTGCACCTCTGGAGCTCAGTCAGTGATGGTTGGCTTCTTCTCTGACCATTGCTCAGCTTGGCTGGACGTCCAGGTCTAGGAAGAGTTCTGCTCGTCCCAAACTTCTTCCATTGGAGGATGATGGAGCCGCTGAGGAACCTGTTTAGGAACCTTGGCCTCAGTCTCTGAGCTCCTTTCCTTCCCCCTCATGGTTCTGCTTTGCTCTGACAGCTCTTCTATAGACAGCTGAGCTCCTTTCCTCATCAGGTTCATTAAACACAGCTGGACTCCAATGGAGGAGCAGAACCATCTGATCAGCAAACCAGACGGCCTGAGAGGTGGAGAGGAGCCACAGCAAAGGGCCTGAATACTGATGACCAGCTGGTGTTTTTTCTTCTTTTTCAATAAATCTTCAACAAAATTCTACATTTCTGTTTTTTTTTATCCTGCCAGGATGAGATGCTGAGTTACATTAATGAGAAATAAAATGAACTTTATTGATTTTGGCAAAAGGCTGCAATGAAACAAAGAGTGAGAGATTTAAAGGGGTGTGAATACTTTGTGAAACAGTAATCTATGTTACATAACCAGACCCATTCAGTGCTGGTTCATCTAAAACCAGGTCTTTAGTCTGGAGGTTCTGCTTCTTCATGCGCGTCATTTATCTATAGAATATGAAGGAATTGCAGGCGTGGATTTTTCCGTGTATTTTTTTCTGTGTATATTTTCCTGTGTATTTTTTTCGGTGTATTTTTTTCGGTGTATTTTTTTTCGTGTATTTTTTCCGTGTATTTTTTTCGGTGTATTTTTTTTCGTGTATTTTTTTTCGGTGTATTTTTTTTCATGTATTTTTTCCGCGTATTTTTTTCCGTGTATTTTGTTCCATGTATTTTTTCAGCGTATTTTTTTCCGTGTATTTCTTTTTGTGTATTTTTCCTGTGTATTTTTTTCTGTGTATTTTTTCCTGTGTATTTTTTTCTGTGTATTTGTTCCGCGTATTTTTTTCCGTGTATTTTTTCCGCAAATTTTTTTCTGTGTATTTTTTCCGCGTATTTTTTTCCGTGTATTTTTTCCGCAAATTTTTTTCTGTGTAT